ATAATATAATAATATAATAATATAATAATATAATAATATAATAATATAATAATATAATAATATATAATATAATAATGCATCCTTTCAATAAATCCGAATAATTCGACAAACAACCATAGCATTAAAAAAAGCACACGACTTTCGGACAACAATTTTTTCCCAGTGCCATCCATTTAAAAAACACAATTACAAGACCATATTTTCGAATCGTATACGATCTGAAAAAAAAGAGAACAAGAAGAGAACGATCCGAACTTTCGAACAGCAGCGAACAGAAGGAAGCCTGCATTATTCTTGCATCGCAATAAATGAAGAAACATGATCGATACAGAGTTAAATGACCTTCCGATTAATATAATATAATATCTGTTAATGGAGACACAGAATTATATGTTGCATGTAAAATGTGTATAAAGACAGTTTGTTAATAATGAAAAAAAATGAAAAAATAATGAAAAAAATGTGGTAAGAGCGAAAATCGCGAAAGAAATTTGGAGAACAGCCTCTCTCGGAGGAGCTGGTCAGTCACATTTCTGCATTAAATAAACAACACAAGACGCATGCCATGATAATGTTATATTGTTAGATGAACACTCACCCGTGTTATTACTGGCGAAATTTGGGTCCTTACCTGTAACAGAGGAAAGCAGACGTTGTTTAGCATGATCGAGTGTCGTCGACGATCGTATACAACATAATAACGACATCGATTCCGTGCCCGCGTTACCAGACAACACCGTGTATCACGTTACAGAGCCAGCAGAGAGACGCCACTCTCTCTCTCTCTCTCTCTCTCTCTCTCTCTCTCTCTCTCTCGTTCCCCGCGCGACTAATTAATTCTCTCGCGGCGTATATAAATTAACAAGGCACAATGAAGCTATCCGATGTAAACGCGAAAACGTTCTCAAGTACTATATTAATAAGGCGGCGGTAATTTATGCAACGCGGCAAAGCCCGGCGAAACATTAAGCATTTTTATCGTGATCGCACGATTCACCCGCGCGCCGAGAAACGAGATTCCTTAATAGTTCTCCTAATTAAGCGGTGCTTAACATTTGCATTTGCGCCGGCGCGCTATCTAGCCGGCGAGATATGTGTTAACGCGTGTTTGGATTTTCGCCGCGGCTCAGCCGCGTTGGAACATTTTGCCGGCAAGCTTCCACATTCGTCATGGAAAACGAATTTGTTGTTTCTTCATTCCCGGCTCCTCCGATCGCAACGTTCTTTTCAACGAAAAGCAGTCTTTTTAACGAAAAACAGCGATGGATATTTAATGAAACGCGAAACAGCAGGAATATTTGAACAATTTCAACAAATTGTTACTCCGAGCTCGTTGAAATTATTAAGAACAAATGTCTGTGCAGTTCATGCATCTCGCAGCTGACGTCGGCTATTTTTATTTTGCATAATAATCTGCGGTCTGTTAACAAGAGAATTATTTTCTTCGAGATGAATTAATGAAATAGGATAAATCAAAATAGACAAGAAAATTATATCGAATGCTATACGATGACAGGATTGTTGTTTGACAGCTTTATTTAAGTAAAATGTTATTTAGCTAAAGATGCGAAAATTATAGTAATTTGTAGTACTTGCTTGAATAAATAAATAAATATTATAATAAGGACACAGTTTTGTGCACGACATTCGAGAAATGCGAAGTGAAATATGGCATCGAAATAAAGTGGCTTCAAGGCTCGCAGAAGTAAAGAATGAACGAAATGTCGGAGCATCGTGCGCGACGCATGAAAGCATAGAAACCATCAGTCAAGTCTTGTGACTCGAGATCAAGATTTCCCATATTTACGTGGACAATCCTGATCTGTTCGAGAGAAGGAGTGCATCAAAAGCTCCTGTATTTTTTGTCTTTCTTCGAGCATCTGTAACTTCGGACGACGCTGCTGTCAACGATAATAATTCGACCGTGATAATTACGTTGTATCCAATTTACGACTGCAATGGAAACAAAAAGAATTTCGCCTCTTGTCTTCATAGTCGACGCTGGGAATAAAAATGTCCGGTCTGTTAACCCCTTGAGCTGGTAATTCGATTATTTTTATTGTAAAATATTTAATCTCGTATAAAAGAAATAGTTTTAGCTGATTTTAAATTTAACTTAAATTGAATATGAATTAAATATTAAATATTGATTACACGTATTTGTATTGTATCATGTTTATGTATATAATATGACGTTTTTATAATTGATTTGACAAGAAACAAGTGGGAGAAAGGGGCGAATTTCTACACACAGGGTGTCCCATAATTATGTTAATACCCGGAAAGGATTCCTGAGATCATTTGGAGAAACTTTTTCCTTTGCGAAAATGCAATCCGTAGCTTCGTTTACGAGTTATTAATGAAAAACAATGATCAGCGAGAGCGAGCGGCTGACGCCCCGCCCTCGCGACCACTGCTGCTGCGTCAGATGGCTGGCGCGACGCGGCATTGGCCGCAAGGGCGGAGCGCCAGCCGCACTCGCTCTCCGATTGGCCACTGTTTTTCTTTAATAACTCGTAAACGAAGCCGCGGATCGCATTTTCGCTAAGGAAAAAGTTTCTCCAAATGACTTCAAGAACCCATTTCCTGAGAGCGAGACGTTTTCGGGATACCCTGCATAAAGAGACTCAACGAATAACCTTCTGTAAAATAACAAGGTTCATAATCACCGACTTTCACAAATTCTACCACGATCTAAATTCTACCGAAAGGGTTGTCAACCCCTTGTAAATCGCGTTCGATAAAAAACAAGACGAACTCGATACTCGATACAAGCTCTGTTGCACAGTTCGTTAAATGCCAAGCTTTCGCATTTCTCCCGAAGCGAAACGCTTTGTTTCCGCCGGCAAAAAATACGGTTTAATTGCGCAACTCGCGTTATTATTTCGCGCGGCGGAGGTGGTGCGGGTCGGTTGCTCTTTTTCAGCGGCCTTTATTCTTAACCCGGAGCGACGCGGCCTTAACGATACCCGGTGCACCGTCTAACGAGTAACAGCGGAATCACTTTACGTGCAACAGCGTGCACGCATGCAGATGCAGCGGAAAGTTTGTCGGTTAGGATAGCGCAATTTTGCTCTCGGCTTCAACGGCGGCGGCGGCGGCAGCGGCGGCGGCGCGGGGGTGAATCGGAGTGGAATCGGGGCGGGTTTTCTGGGACGGGACGCGCATCAGAGAAGAATTCCGCAGAGGATCCCCACGAACGCGATGCTAACGTAAATACGTGGAACGGTCCGGGGGATGAAATGCATAGCGCGATTCAACTACGGCGCACGTATGCGGAATGCGCGGACGCGACTCCTAACTGCATACGACTTCGAAAATCCGGCCGGGCCCGGGTCGCTCGTGCTACTTATCTTCTCGAGAATCGAGCGAGCCGCTCGACAATACCATTATTCCCTATTTCGTTCGCGTGTCTATCTTCGCGCGCGCGCGCGCACGCCCGCGGCTTCGCTCGTCCGACACGAACTACCCCGACCGTTCTAACCGGCGCGCTACGTCCGCCACCAAATAATTCACGATACGCGGATAGGCTTTCGTTCCTTTTTTTTCACCCCCGTTTCAGAGGCACCCCCGCGTCCACGGTGCTCGTCGCGCATTTATTTAGTCGTTTAATTTATTTTGCACGAACCTCGCCGAACGCCCTCTTTTTCAACTTTCTCGAGGAAAATTCAACGGTGTGGTTGAATGAATATTATGGTTACAATGGTTGCGTTTGGGCAGAATGTTCGCGTTGTAAGGGGACGATTTTTTATGCGATTATATATATTAAACTTGTACGATCTGGGTAGCATAAGTATCTTAATTTTGTTTGAGTTTATAGTTGAAATTGTATTTGAATTTATAGTTGAAATTGTATTCTATTTTCTAGTCGAAATTGTATTTTATTTTATAGTTGAAATTGTATTTTATTTTATAGTTCAAATTGTATTTTAATTTATATCTAAAATTGTATTGTAATTTATACTTAAAATTGTATCGTAATTTATACTTAAAATTATACTGTAGTTATACTTAAAATTGTATCGTAATTTATACTTAAAATTATACTGTAGTTATACTTAAAATTGTATTGTAATTTATACTTAAAATTATACTTTAGTTATACTTAAAATTGTGTTTTAATTTACACTTAAAATCGTATTTTAATTTATACTTAAAATCGTGCCGTAATCTATACTCTGAAACTTGTATTATCATTTATCCTTAAAATTCTAATTTGGATATAATTAAGCAGACATTACTATACATAAGTTACACACACATATAAGCAAGTACATATTCAACAATCGCACGCGCGAACAAAATATGAATCGCGTACGTAAAAAAAATTCAGAATCTTTTTTATGGAGTCGTGCTATTTAGCAGCACAAATAGAGAGAGAGAGAGAGAGAGAGAGAGAGAGAGAGAGAGCACGTCGCAATTAATTTGTTTACGCGACTCAGCAGCTCGTCCGCGCACTCCTGCGTGCGATTACATACGCAAATGGATGAGTTCCCTTTTAGATGTTCCCCGAGCTCTTTGTATATTTTCTCTTCCGCTGACATGTGCAGCATTCACGTCTCTGCGCGTCGGCGTCCCTTGATCGAAATCAGAATACGAAAAATGAAAGAGAAACGGATCCTGGCCGTAGAGGTACCGAGGACATCGATAAACTATGCCCGAGAGCCATCAGGAGATTGCCAGAGATGAATCTAGCAGCTGGTTTTCGTGACTTCATTTATTTGCCCTACTTCGCCCTAATGCGGGGCGGCTCCTCTCTTACGTTATCTGTCTCAAACGAAGCCGGGATTTTTACAACGTTCGGCGAGCTGAAAATGCTGCTCGTTCGTTTTTAGTTGCAACGGTTTCAACGGCGGATACGGCTCTCCGGCGCGGAGAGTAAGTACGTTTTTCGAGATAAAGAAGCACGGTTTTCGAGATACAGAAACACGGTTTTCGAGATAAAGAAGCACGTTTGCGGGGGGGGGGGGGGGGGGGGCAAAGAAACACGGTTTTCGAGATAAAGGAACGCGTTCCGATGCGTATGAAAGCAACAACGTTAGAACGCGTTACGATACTGTCCAAGCGGAGAATGTGCACTTCTTTTATGCACCTCCGGAAAGATTAATACGATATAGAATAATCGATGTTAATTATTATTGTTACTAGATTCGATTCGGCTGATAAAAATTCGTTTTTTCGTATAGCAGTTTTCATCGGTCGATAACGATGCAACAGTATGTATTCGTCAAGTTTTCCAACATCCACACAGTTTTTTATTTCACCTATTTCTTGTAGAAATTAATAGATAAAAGATTTCGTATTTTTACCGATGCATTTCGCTTTGACTATCTTGCTGTGTGAACAAGAAATGACAATTAAAAAGAAATACTACTTTGACAAACGTTACTTCCAATGTAATATGGCGTCGTTATGATTGAATTGACGTTTCAAGTGATTTAAAACAAATGAAGAACGAGTATGAACAAAAATGGCGAATTATTATACAAATAAATTGATTAATGCTGCTTTGACACGAATATATGACATCATCACAATTAAATTGACATTTCAAGTAATTTAAAGCAAATGAGAAAAAATTATTATGAACAAAAATTACAATTAAAAAGAGATGCTACTTTTAGCGTTCTT